TACCCATCTTGGCGCGGTATTTCCCATATTTCAAATTTTCAGTATTTTGTTCAATATTTTCGTATTGGCGTCCTTTCATGTTCTGATTCCATTTACGACATGGTATTTGTTTAAATTACATTAAATGGTTCAATTTTAGATCGATGCGCCTTTTCCACATGTTGGTGTTCGTAATCAACAAATATTAATTTTCTTTTACCTTTATTGATCATTGACTCGAAATTTTTATTTCGATACTTCATTGATCTTGACATGCCGATGATATTACTGCTATTTCTGTTTTATAATTATATTTTTCACTCTTTAATCACAATGACATCTGATGTCTTTCAAAGTGTTATGACTATTTTGCTTAATCGCAATAAAGATATTCGATATTGCGGCATGATTCTGCTGTTTAAGGGGCTATTTCATTCAATATATGGCATTGAAATGTGATTTTAACATTCTTTAATTTTAATATTTTCAGATTGTAATTCGAATGGCGTGGATCTATGCAGGTGTTTCTGTCTGCTATTCCAGGTTTATTATTGACGTTCGAAGTACAATTTTCTGCTTCTCTAATTTTGGTTTAACATATGTTGGCATCGTTTATTCTTTTATATGTCATGGCTATTTGGTTATGGCGTGTATTCATTTTCGAAGTTCGGCTCAAGTAGCTGCGGTTTGATGATGTAAACTGTGTTGGGGCAAACTCTGGCGATAATATACAAAATGTTGTTTGTTATTTAATGATCGATGAAGTCTCTAAACAAGTAATACCACATTGACCATTACCTAGGTGCAAAATTCGAAACAATGTGTAATCGGGTTATTGCTCGGTGATATCTGTGTTCGTTATTCAACGCCTGACGTCTCGCAGCAGTCATTGTTCTCGGCTATACTCAGTTAAATGCGGTATGCGCTCATATTTCCTTTCATGTTTGAACTGTATGCAATATCTGTTGTTACTCTGATGCGCCAGCCTCACTGCGTTCTCAATTGTATGATTTCCAACACCTCCGAACACGTGTTGCTCTTCCCTGTGTTGGCATACCACGGACCATGGCGTGGTTTTATGTCATGGCAATACACGATTTCAGCCTATTCCCGTTTCCGGATTAATATCAATTCTTGCTAAACCCGAATTGCTCAATCAACTGCACTGGAGGTAATGCGTATTGACAGTAACGTCCTGACATTAAGCATTCTACGATTGATCATCAACTGGGCAGCAGCACCTTTGCAGGCAATTCTATGACACAGCTCGTTGTTGATCTTTGTCGGGTAACAGGGTTACAATTTCAGCTGGTACTATTATCACGTACACTACTAATATTTCGTTTTATCTGACTCTTTCATAAACTGACTGTTCAGCGACTTATTTTGTTTTGAATAACAATGTTCGCTCTCGACGTTTTCTTTATCGACCGACTGTGTGCTGTTTATTGCAATTACCGGCAAGTATTAACTTTGCAATTTCTGATTTCACTTTTCTCTTTATTGATATTTCGCTTCGTGTGACAGATCTATTTCCGCAAAGTTTCTATTTTCAATGATACTGTTGATCTGTTCCATCTTTGATCCCTGTGATTTTCACTGCGTGTTTAATTTAAAGTTGCTGTTGCTCCGAAGTCGACCGACTTCTTCGATATGTTCTATTATATCTTCTTGTTCTTATTTTATTTCAGACTTTGTCTGCAGGTGTTCTCTTTGAAATTTGATATTTATTTGTTGTTCGCGGTTATTCTCGCTATTCGTCTGCGATGCTGTAATAAGTTATGCCTCTTTATGTTCATACTGGCGGGTCGCCTTTTCTTCACAAAGATCATTATAATGTTCGCGGTCACAGCACAAACCACCGATGTCTTAAAATTTACGCCGGCTCGATATTTCCCGACGTGTGCATAAACCGTCGTCGTTGCTGAATAATCGCCGGTGTGTTGGCGTTGTGTCGTTGCGGTGGTGTCGCCCTCCCATCCGTGTTTCGAGGCAATATTCAGTGGTACTCAAGCGGCGTTTCTAACATTTCTGCAACCAGTCGGACAAATAATTTTGAGGAATTTAGAATAAAACCACCTCGACACAAGTTAGCCAACCTGCTTGTATCCGCTGCTGACTCTTTGTTGGATTTTATTCAGCAGTCATTTTAGCTCTATACGTAATCGGGCGTATTGGCTGGCGCAAATGTTTTCTCAACTTCAATCAATACCAGCGACATCATAATATATCTTTATTCTCTAGTTGTATGATTTCCAGCACACCTCAGACACGTGGCTGTACTTTTTCTGCACTTTTGTCCTTTATGTGTTAGCATACCACAGTTATAGCATGGTTTTATGCCTATATAATCATATGCTCTACACTTTTGATTTCCAATATATAATTTGTTTCCGTTATCTCTAATTCTTTTATATATTTCAGCAGGTGCCTCAATCAAAACTGTTTATGTTCCCTTTTTGTCATTAGTATACATGTGTAATATTGTACATCCCTCTACAACATTAAACGAATTTCTCTGATTGATGTCTTCTTGAATTTGCTCTTTGCTTCTTTTGCAAAGGCTTGAATTCCTACTATTTTTAGCTTCGGTTTGTTGATCTCTTCTACTTTAACGTCACACATGTCAGATAGCTTAGAGTTTACAATTTCAACAGTTTTTTCTACACTGTGATTATCACGTACACTTACTATTATTTCATTTNTATCTGTCTTTTCATAAACTTTATTTGTTTGTATCATTTTTTGACTTATTAGGCATTCTGCTACTTTTTGTTTTAATTCTTTTAATGTTCCTTTCTCATTTGTTTTCTTTATCGTTATTTTGTGTGCTGTTTTTGGTTTTAAGATATTTCCTGCAATTACTTCAGCCAAAGTATTAGCATTGAGACTTCTAATTTCACTTTTTTTCTCTTTATTGAGTAATTCCTTCAGTATATTATTTTTGTCTTCTAATTCTAGATTCAATTTTTTTAGTAGATCTATTTCCATTTTTAAAGTTTCTATTTCTGCCTTTTCAATGACTCTTTCATTGTGATCTGTTCCATCTTGATCCATATCTTCATGATTTTCCTGCATTAATTTATTATTTAAAGTTACTTGTTGCTCCAGAAGTGTTAACTGCTGTCGCTGTTCATTTACATGTGTCTCTCTTTCTTTAATTATATCTTCTTGTTCATTTATTTTCTTTTCAAGACTTTTTATCTTTTTTACATAAAATTGTTCTCTTTTCAGAATTTCACTTTGTGCTTGGTACTTTATTTGTGCTGTTGTATTTCTCGCTTCTTGTGTTACCACGTGCACATCAATAGAGGTTAGGTCTACCTCTTTATGTTCCTTGCAAACTCCAAGACAGTCACTTATAAGAATTCCGTATTTTCTTCTCACAAAGTCATTATAATGATACACTGATTCACAGATAACACAAACCACCGATTCAAACTTAGTGTCATCATGGCACTTATAAAATTTTACCGCCGACCGATCTGGAGGCTTTTTCCCCGACGTGGCCACCTTGGCCATCGTCGTTTGTTTTTGAATATGAATCACCAGTTAGTATGTGTTGAGAAACTGCTGGAAAAGTGCGATTGGATTTGTATATGTGTTACATACGTCTTGCAGGGTCAGCTTCCACACCAGAGATCCACACTCCATTCTAACCAGGGGTAATGGGATGCCCAACTCTTTTCAGTGTGAGAGCGCCTCAAAAACAGCGTTTTTTATAACATTTTCTGTTGTAGCCAGATCGGACAAAATAATAATTTTTGGGAATTTAAATTAAAATACCCATCATTTTTTAGGATTAAATATTATTATACTTGTATCCTTTAAACATATGCAGATACTTTTTAAACTCCTTTTATTGTGATTTTGTGATATATTAAACAATTCATTTTTAAACTTTCTATACGTAATCAAAACAATATATGTATTAGCTCTCAATTAATAAATGTTTTTAAAAATTTTCAACTGAAAATCAATACCAATAAGCATGACATCACAATATATATCATCACATACATTTCAATTTCGCGTTTTCTTTCATTATCATTGTTTTCCAATTTTTGTTAGTGATCTTCAAAAGCAGCACAAATCTCTCTGTTTACATATTAAGATTTTAATCTGGCCGTCCCTTTTTTCCAATTGCTAAACGTCACAAGATTGTAATCGATTCTTTCGATAATCTATTCTATATATACTTTATTTTTATTCCTTATAGTTCAAAAATTTATTTATAAAATCGCAATGCCATTAATGGATATTCAAATTAATAAAAAAAATAAAGCATAAAAATCAAAAAAGAAGTTAATTTTGTGTGTTTAATCAAAGTAATCGTACTGTTGCTATATATCAGCTGCTTCGCATGTTTATTACAGTGGACATTACATCCAATATATACTTTTTAAAAATAAATCCACATGGTGCTAGGCGCTACAAGTATATTCATATATATGTATACTGAAAATATAATAACATGTAATTGTAAATCTATTAATAATGTGCTCTCGAATATCAAGAATCGATTTCGGAAGGTACGGGTCAACTTTAATGGAACAAGCAGTCACCGACGCAAAACCGTGGACCGAATCAGCTGATACGACCTAAATTATGAGAGCGCAAAGCAAATAAACAGTCATTACCGCTTTAACAGGATATCCGCGAAAATTGGATTTTTCCGTAGAAATGAGTGAGCTGAGAATGAGAGAGCAATCTATTGCAACGCAGAGTTGCCAATCTCAATATTTTGTAGTAATTTAAAAATTAACTTAAAATATATTTGAAAGTTTGCTAAATTAACTCAAAACCATAGTAGAATACACATATTTATTAATAGATAAACTATTTTTAATAGTTGGATTTTAGTTTTAAGCTTTCACAATATGAAAAATTATAACCAAAAAACTAATTGTGTGAAAAATCGTGTATACAAATAGGACAATGGCAACATTGGTGAAATAAAAACAAAAGAGAATAACTGATTTCTGCGTTGCTACTACGGGCATAACTTATGACAAATTTTTTGCGTGCAATGAGTCTCCGCATGACACTAACCACCTCTTTGCATGCCCAACGAACCCCACACATCTAACACCCTTTCCCTATGTTTCGACCCCTTCGAAACAGCTCGTTTCCTAGGCCTCCCCTTAGATAACCTCAACGACAACAAGTCTGGAACTTATCGCCCAAACGGGGATTCGGTAACCGTTACAACAACAACAACTACAAAATTGGTTTGATAAGGAGGTAAGTATGGACCCTTCCATATGAAATGTCGGTGACTGTTATGCTATAAACAATTGATTATTTTAAGTAAAAAATCGATTCTCGAGTACAATCGAAATCGAGTTTTCCATCCCTACTAGGCTTTATCCAGCTAGGAAAAATTAAAGTGATAAGCATATACCATGGTGATAAGTGACTTAGGTTTGCATAGGATTGACGTAAATAATTTCTATAAATGAAATTACCATCTGTTTTTCTGAAGAACAAATAACATTCATAAATAAATCTATCCGTTTCCATAACAGTCGGGTCTACGTAACCGGAACGGACCCGGACTTTTTCCGGCCAAGGACTGTCAACTCGACAAAATTCTGCCGCTACAACAACAATAAATAAATCTATAAAAATAGAAGAAATTTATCAACACTTATATTGCATTGATTAAAAGTCTTTCAAGTTGCAAAAGTTGTTAAAAAGAAAAGTCTGAAGTTATTTATAAAAATGTTTGCATGCTTATAACAAAGCTTTTCAATAATTTGTCACGAAATGCATATCGTCACTTAAATTACAGAATAATCTACCATAAACAATTTCGAATAATAGCTGTTTTTTTTTTATTATGATTCACTTCATATTACATATATGTACAAAATTTGAGCTTCTGCTTTTGAATATAAGCATAATTCAAATTGGTTTGAATATCAGTAGTAGAATATTTTTTTTCATTTTAGATATATGCTCGTATGTGAATGAGGAAATTTATTTTTTTGCGCTATTTTACGATGTACTAAGAGGTCACAGTTAAAGACCTCGAGTCCAAAGTAACATCGTTAAATTTTCTATTGTCTTCTGATGATGTATGTAGTTAAATCCGTATTCATCAAAAGTGATATAATAAGTGATTACGGGAACTTCGCTCCGATACTATTTCTAAAGATTAAAAATTCAACAATTTAAAGTAAGTAATTATTCTCGCTACATGGTGACATAGAGTATAATACGTAACCAAGACACAAATGAAGATATGAAAACTGTAATTTGGTAAAGGACATCGAAATATAAATGGATTATTGTGGTTTGAAACTTTTTAAATAGTTTGAGAGAGTAGCTCCGCCTTTTAATAGCTTTAATGTTCACATCTCACATACCACCAAAGCCTTTTCAACCAAACGTGCTAAAAAAAATAAATCTAGCATCCCTCAAACACTATAAATAAATGAAATTTGATAATAACAATGCCCATATCATGTTCTCAAATACGTTTTTTTTATTACTATATATGCTTAGTTGTAATTGCTTTGTTTTTGTAAATGAAGAATAAATGATTATTTTGTATTTTAGACATTTTCAAAACAAACGCCGACAACGATAATATTAGCATATGTAATTTTTTTGAAATTACTATATTAGTATAATGGCGGTTTTTTCGAAATACATTGATCTGGCGATGCAGAAATACGACGAAAACGGTTTATCGAAAACCATAATCAGTAGAGTGATACTCTGCGCGGCAATCTGTGCCTATACTTTTAAGACTACATATCCGTTATTTGGAAAGCAGTTTGTGAATAAGAACAACGTTGAACATACATGCAAAAACTATAATAGAACTTTGTATAAGGAACTAAATGAAAAAATAGTTAATGCCACGGAGTATGAAGATTCGAAATTGGCTGAAGCAGAAAAATTGATTATAGCAACACAATTGAAAAGGCAATCTTTACATCTAGAACCTGGCCTTAACAAAGAATTCGTTCTGCAATTAAGAAAGCTCATAAAAATTATCGTACCAAAAGTGATATGTTACGAAAGCGGCCTATTAATCGTTCATACTTTGTGTTTAATATCTAGAACATTTTTATCAATTTATGTAGCTGCGTTGGAAGGTGCCATCGTAAAATTTATAGTACAGAAGGATGTGAAACAGTTTGTTATAGTACTTTTAAAATGGTTTGGAATAGCTATACCAGCTACATTTATAAACTCAATGATAAGATTCCTGGAAAGCAAGCTTTCATTGGCTTTCAGGTAATAAACTATTAACCTAATTACAAATACCTATTAAAAAATAAATAACTGTTTTTATATATATTCATGATTGGGAGTTTAGAAAGTTTAGAAAATAGGACTTATTTTAATGCGATAAGATACTAATTTACAATTTGTTCTTAATGTCAACGAGTGGTTATCTTTAATTTCGAATATTATTATTAATTTTATTTTATTATTACTATTAAGTAAAACTTATTTTGTTAATTTCCTTTTCAAACTGCTCAAAAAATTAATTTGAAATGTGTGTGGAGCGTAATATAAAAACCTATTGAAGTGTATAGGTTTCAAAAGCTGCACAGCTTGTATCCAATAAAATATGCTTTGCTAATGTTACTGGGAATATATTTTACTATGAATACTTTCCACATTCAAGGAATTTTAACATTGCGCATTTCCTGAAAATCATAGAACAATTTTATAAACTCCACAAGTTTTAAACACAGTTATTAAAAGTTGCGAAAATATTTAACATACGTAGGGTTCAACGGACTTCTGATATTATTGGTCTCTTTCAGACAAAGAAAGTTTGATAATCTAAACCACTCCCATTAAGTATGAAGATGTCATAGAGATATTAGTTAAGTAGTAAAATTTGTATAATTACGTAATACCAGTGGGGTTCAACTACAACCTGAGATTGTTTAGTTTTAAATATATTTATTTTTTATTCGATTTTATTACTTATTGTTAAGCTTTAAACAAGCAGATACATAAATAAAGATTTTATATTTCTAAAATAATTTTTATATATAGTGTTTGGCTTAGTAGTGTATAAAGTGCTTTTAGTTAATATATGTATATAGGTATTAAAATGGCCTTTGGTTAATATGTGGTTTTGGAGACACATGTCTCTACGTAGATTATTCCCAAACAATGCGCTGACATAGTTTTTTTCTAATGTTTTACGCGCGTTATGAGTGTATCGAAAATTGGATAGTCAGAGCAACAGAAAATATGTTTTAGGTATACAAAACAACGATCTTCTTTCGAACTTTTATAATAATTAAACCGCTTTGTGGTAATTATATATATATATATATATATAATATAAACCAATGATCTACCCAGCGATCGCACACATAATGCATATGTAAAAAGTTTCAGTCAGTTGAAGTGGTACGGAATTTTTAAATTAAATTGTTTGTGGTACGGAATTCTAATTAAACAATTTAATTTAAAAATTCCGTACCACTTCAACTTAAAATCTCTGTATCTCAAAGGGTATTAATATTATTGATTTGGTGCCAAAGACTTTCCTACAAGTTTGTTATTTACTTTCTATTCTATTTTTCTGAAGCTAGTGTTGTTTACGAGATAAATCCAAAAAAACGCGAATTTCATGGAAAAATTAGGTTTGGGGGCCCGTACTACCCCACAGGTGTATCAAAGGCCGCTGAGTTATAAAATTAAGAAGAAAAAAAATCAAGTTTTACGTGTATTTTAGATGGAAAAACTTTACAGGCCTTGGTCTAGTACTTAATATTAATATTAAGAGCTCAAACTTTCAGGGAATTTTTTTTTTGGTATTTCCAACAAAATTTCACCATGGGATCGAAAAAACAATAGTTCAAAAAAAAGCACCCTAGTATGTATACTTGTTTATTATATTTGAACATACATATTTAAGATTAGTGGACTGTATTTGTTGTTGTTGTACCGGTTACCTAGTTCACGTTTGGGTGATAAATTCCAGATTCGTTGTCGTTGAGGTCATCTAACGGGAGGACCAGGAAACGAGCTGTTTCGACGGGGTCGAACCATAGGGAAAAGGGTGTTAGATGTGTGGGGTTTGTTGGGCATGCAAAGAGGTGGTTAGTGTCATGCGGAGACTCATTGCACGCAGGACATGTGTCCTGTATTTGTTCTTACATATTGCTTATCTTATCTTATTTGATATTCTTAGTATGTAGATTAATAAAAATACATACTGCATACTGAAAGTGATGAGCACCAACGCACATGTTCATTTTTAAACAAGGCTTAGTTATAAGTTATTGTGGCATTAAGGGTTTAGGTGTAGTCAGTGACATGAATTTTACAATTTATATTTAAACAATTTATTTTTATCAGTATTTTAATAAAATTTGTATATATGTCTTATTAAATTTTATAAAAGTAAAACAACTTCGACTGAATTTGACAGAAATTAAGAATCCGGTTCCAACCTTCTTGCAGTGACCATCACTATTTCTTGGAGATTCATCTAAAATCAGTCGGACAAAAAAATCTGTTTTATTAATAGAAATTCGAGTGCCTGTTCGATCCGGAACTAGTTTTTCATGTTTTCAAAAAGTTGTATAAATTTCATTGAAATCTACCGAGCGGTTTTCGAGCGACAATACTCACAAGTTCAACAAACATAGTTTTGGGAAAAACGAATTTGAAGTTTTATACGAACGTTAGAGAGCGCCCGAGGTTCCTTCGCTACTTATCGAATAACCGTAAAGTATTAGGCGAATTAACGTCAAATTTTCAGAGTATATTTAAAGATATCATACGTTAGGAAAATGGTTTTAAAAAGTTTTACCACCCTTAATATAAGATATTGCATCTAATTCAAAGGACATTTCCTCTTGTGTATTTATATTTTCATAATATTTTCGCATCTTACTTTTATTAGGACTAGATTGGTGCGACACTCATATCGTTTATATTTCAAAAATCAAAATTATTATCGGGTTTCTAATTTGGATGGACGAATAGAAAACGCTGATCATAGGTAATACAATTAAAGTAAGCACCTAATTATAGTTGTACGTATTAATAATTTGTATGTAATTAGATTGACAGAGGATATAGCAGTATTTGCTACCTCAGTAGCACATCTATATAGTAGCGTTACCAAGCCATGCTTTGACCTGATGCTTATTGGGTTCGCTTTAATGCGATCCACCCAAAAAATGAAAGCCAACATTGTTTCAGGTACCAAACTATTTATTATAAATATTTCTTTGTGAATGTATAAATGAATTTTCTCTTAATAGGCCCAACACTCGCCATTATAGTGATATCGTTAACAGCACATATAATCAGAGTTGTTTCGCCGAAATTTGGCCAACTTGTAGCCGAGGAGGCTAATCGTTACGGGTATTTACGTCATATACATTCTCGTATTATAACGAATTCTGAAGAAATAGCCTTCTACGGTGGCCATAAAGTAAGTTTTAGTTTAGTTCTTAAAGCGCTTTAATAAACATATCATTAGGCAAAAAAATGAATAGTTACAAATTCAAATTCTAGGCGGTCCTTAATTAGTACAAATTCTGAATACAAGGAACTACTGCCATACATACTTTTAAAGACCTATGCGCATATTTCCATAAAATTAATGCAGTTCACTTTCAATTTTTTTTTGGTTCCCCTTTCGTTTTACCCTCACTTCTATAAAAATTGAATTCCTTTTTTTTTTTGTATGTAGTCCCTCAGTTTTTGAGATATCGCTCTGAAATTTTGAACACGTGTTTTTCTCCCCAAGAAACTACTCATTTATCGGAACTGCCGATATCGGACCACTTAAGCTGCCATACCAACGGAACGATTAAGTTCTTCTAATCTAGTGTTTGATCAAACCTTTTTTTTTTTAATTAACAGAATGCAGCCTCAGGAAAATTTTGGTTACGTTTCGTTAGTGGATAATAGTTCAAAAAACATAGTTTTGAGAAAATAGCATTTGAAGCGTCCGAGAACCCTTTGCAAATTATAAATAACTGGAAAAGTATTTGCCGGATTTACTTCAAATTTCCAGAGAATATTAGCTATACTTTAAGAAACTGCAAAAATTAATATTTATGACACATATTAGTGTATGGTTTTATAGATTGTCAAAGATCCATTAAACAAAGATATATTATAACAGCTGATGTATCACAGGGATCCCGTAAAGATGTGCTTTAATTGGCGGTATATCTAGGAACTATTACTGTTATTATTGTATTATGAACTTCTCCAATTTCATTAATATATAATAATAATTTATACTATTCAACCTTTGTAGGTGGAATTGCAACAACTTCGTCAAGCATATAACCGTTTAGTTAATCAAATGAACAACATATTTATACAAAAACTCTGGTTTGTTATGCTAGAACAGTTTTTCATGAAATACATCTGGTCTGGGACGGGAATGATAATGGTTTCGCTACCGATTTTGACGTCAGGCACAGCATTACACAAAACAAATCTCTATGATCCAGTATCTAAAGAAGTGCTGAACTCAAGCGTTAGTGAGCGAACACAATATTTAACTACTGCACGAAATTTACTTATATCTGCTGCCGATGCCATTGAGCGGTTGATGTCATCATATAAGGAAATTGTCGCTTTGGCTGGGTATACTTATCGTGTTGCTGGAATGTTGCAAGTATTTGAAGAGACTGCTCAAGGTGTTTATCATAAAAATACGATCGTTGAAAACAACGAAATAAATGGCATTATTGAGTTTAAAGATGGTAAGCCAATTGCCAAGGGCCGCATTATCTACACGGATACGCCTAATGATATGACCATCACATTACGAGCTGTACCTGTGGTCACTCCTAATTGTGATATTGTCGTATCAAGTCTGACTCTTTGTATTGAGCAAGGAATGCATCTCCTTATTACCGGACCAAATGGCTGTGGTAAATCCAGTTTATTTCGTATATTAAGTGGTCTATGGCCAATTTATGCTGGTGAATTGCTTATACCTCGTCCTGTAGAGGATAAACCATGTATGTTTTACATCCCCCAACGTCCATACATGTCAACGGGAAGCCTTTGTGATCAGATTATTTACCCTGACAGTCGAGAAGATATGTTACGCAAAGGTTTTACAGAGAATCAGCTCCGAGGCATTTTAAAAATGGTCTGTTTAGAACATATAGCACAGCGGTAATTATTATGAAATAATGTTTGTTAGATCTATTTTTGTTTTTATTTTTATATTATAGTGATGGTTTTAATGCCGTACGAGATTGGAAGGATATTCTCTCTGGGGGAGAAAAACAGCGCATGGCAATAGCACGACTCTTTTATCACAGGTAAACCATTATCCATATGCGTACTAAGTAAGGTTTTAAATATAAACTTACTAACTGTGAAAAAGATTAACCGTCTTTATCTACTGTAGCTATTTGGCGAAAAACAAAACCTCGCATTTCCTTTGCCGTTAGGTAAATTTGGTCACCTGTAATATGTACAACGATGTTTTACAGAACTACTTAAAAGTTATAACTGCAAATAAAAATAAAACATATGTATTATTAATTATAATAATAATTAAATATTAATCAATTGAAATACACGGCTATAAACGCTGCTGTAAAATTGCATATGCTACACATCCCTTCGCCAATTTTAAACAAATATTTAGAAAACTGTCACATGTATCTAAAATAGTCGGATTAATACAGCTAAGCAAGTTATTTTTCACTAATGAAGAAAATATTTCTTTCAAATGCACACACATACACGTATATTAATGCGATATTTTAATGTTACTATTAACTGTTCTCGAACTTTCCAGAGCACCCGCGAACCCTTAGCTAATTATCAAATAATCCGAAACTATTTGTCGGATTTATTCCATTCGAAGTATTTTTCTAACATATAATTTAAGAAAATGACAAAAATTTAATTTTATTTGAAAATTCCAACTACTGCTAACAACGTAAGCGTTTGGTTAAACAACGTAATTGCCTCTGATTTCTATTTAAATAATTCCTAACGTAACGTTTCGTTAACGTGTATCAAGTGAATAAGTTAAATGACTAACGTAGTTTCATGACCAAGTTTCTTTGAGTCTTCGTTTTTTATTAATAATATATAAGTACAGCTCAAGGGTTTTTCTCATTAATTTAGAACGATATTTTTATATGAGTTAAAAACATTAATATTTGTTCGCGCCTATCTGGCATCACCTTTATAAACATATGTTTAAAGCTTGCTGGGCTTTTGGGCAATTATGTGCTTGCTGTCAAACTAGCTTCCGTTATTTCGCTCTCTTCAATAAAGGATTTCGAACAGATAGCATGGATAACATGATACGAAACACCTTGAATCGGGAGAGTCCTGTCAAAGTTTACATTTTTTATAACATTTTACAGTGGTCCCACTAAGAAAAGAAATAAGTTTTGTGCTTTTTTAATGTATTTCTTAGATATTTTTCGGTTTCCATTTAACAGAAAAGTATACAAAATTAAAATTTGCTTAACAAGCTAGATATACTATATGCGGTCTAAATATATGTACATGTATATTTTAATCACAAATGATTTTTAAAATTAAATTTTAAATCTTAATTAACCAAAATATTTAAATATTTTTAAACACTTGCAAATTTTAAATAACCTATTTATTTTTTGATAATGTGTTCGGAGTCAAAGTTTAAATAATATTTGCGGTGAATTCTAACCAAAATATGTATTATATATACGTTGAAAATTGGTATTGCTAAGCAAAACAATACCCTGAGACAAAATACCTACTCTTTCTTAAAAAACAAAACCATATTAAATACCTCTAAATAAAGATTAGAAACACACGTAAAAGTCACTAAAAAATCTGATCTCACAAAACTCACTGATATCGCAATTTATTTCTGCGGGATTCTTAGCGGTAGCTCTTTGTTTTGCTTGTCACCTGTTCAGTAGCTCATGAACTTTCAGTGCTGCCAAAGTAAACCACGAGATCATGAGCTCTCTCAAAGCGCATAGAGAGGAGTTTCGGATCATTTAATCCTTTAAGATAGGTCGTATTTAATTGCAATCCGCAATAATCCACTTAAATCTTCCGCATATAACCGCGTGCGTTATTAAACATCAACATATTTTGGTCATTTGAGCCGGATATCATCGCCTTTTAATGATATTCCGTAAAACCGCTTTTATTTTGAATATTTTTCGCATTTTCAACATTAAACATGTCTTTTGTGAAAATTCGGGACTCCGCGCTAAATGCTATCAAACGCTATTTGCAATCTAGCAAAGTGGATGCTCTGTCGGTAGACATTGAGGTTATAACGACTTACCTCCAATTGTTAGAGGAACAATGGATTCGCTTTTGCATAGCGCAACAAGAGGTGGAGCTGACACATGTAGACGAGAACGTTTCCGTGGGGGAGCAGGCACGCATTAAGGTGAGGAATGGAAAGCACCGGTAAAGCTAACCTGAAACGTCTGTGGCTAACTCAAAGGCAGCAGACATTGCAAACTATCGCTCAAGATTCACCTGTTCCTGTACCTACTTCCAAAACTGCAGTTGCCTTCATTTAGTGGTGATCCCACTCAATTGCTTCCTTTTCATGACGCCTTTTGTTCTCTCATTCATACGAATGTCAATTTCTCGGATGGACAAAAATAGCCACATCAAAGTACTCATGTCAGTTGGGAGCGCAGTTAAGGCCACTGCCAAGGAAATAAAGCAAGTTCTAAATTGTATACTTTAACGCGTTGGTGCTCTACATGCGCTCGAATGACCAGATGAGTTTTGGGATGACTGGCTTATTCATCTCACCGTTTCAAAGTTAGCACACGAAACCCGTAAGCAATGGGAGTTATCGCTTGTCATGGACGATCTACCATCTTTCTCTGCTCTTCGAGAATTTCTTGAAAACCGCGCATGCCCATTGGAGATGGTACCACTACTCAACACTACCGCAAAGACAACGACAACAACAAAGAATGGTTTCCATACGGCATTTACACAACCTGAAGTACATAACGCTACATCAACCGCTAATAAGGGACCGAATTGTGCTTATTGTAACGGTGAGCATAAAATCTGGGTTGGCTTAAAGTTCACCCAACTCGACTCCAAGGGTAAACTAACTGCTATTAAGAAGTTAGGCACGTGTATAAATTGCCTAAGCAAAGGGCATATCCTCACTAGTTGCCATAGCACGTCTTTGTGGCTCATATGCTAAGAACCTCACCATACTTTACTTCACGCAAGCTTTACCGATCAACACGTAAGGTTCGATGCTCCTTCAAAATGTACAACGTTTTAATGTCACCGCACACTACGCCGACACTGATCGCGTCATTCTACTAGCAACCGCTGAAATTATGGTCCAAGATTATACCGGTCGTTGGCAACCCGCTCGCCCACTCCTTGACAACGGTTCGCATGCCTCATTCGTCACCGAAGCGTATATCCCAACGCCTTCGCCTACCCAGAACATCTTCATCAGTTCATGTCACTGAAATTGGGTCACTACAAGGAGGTCGTGCAAACGGGGAATTTACGCTTCTCATATCACCCCGAACGCTTGATGCTAAATTTCAATAAAGTACGTTCATCTTGCCGAAAATTACTAACGATCTTCCAACCTCCGCTTTACCGACGTCTTCATTGCCGCATTGTGTGAATTTGCCACTAGCCGATTGGCATTATTTCAAGCCCGGGCTAATAGACATTTTTATTGGAACGGATGAAATGGACAAATTACGCCTACACGGACTCTGAATGTATATTCTTAAGTTCAAACTGCAAAAACAAAAATGTATATTCCTACTGTTATTTTTGTGATAACGGAATTTTAGTGTAAAAACAAGGAAACATATGCACCATTAAGTCTGCGTTCAGTTAGCTTGAATTGGAAATACCGTTAATTCTCATAAATTTGTTCGTTCTTTTAGCGTAGATTATGTGTTATTGTGTTTTAATATAATTAGTCGTTTAAAAAATGGAAACCAAAGGAAAAGAAATTAGTCTGTTGGAAAGAAAAATTATCATTAATTTGTGGAAAGATGGCAAAAGTTTCAGAAAAATTGTGCAAACTATTGAAAGAACGTATTCTTCTGTCCAGCGCGTCGTAAACAATTTAAAAAAACCGGAATTTTAACGTCAAAACCGCGATCTGGCCGTCCGAAAATATAAGGTTGGCCGTTATCGCCCTTCCGCTTTTTTGCTCTTCATTCAATGCTTTATAAAAAGTGAAATTATTAGGAAAGCATAAAAGCATCAAATTTAACTTTGAACGATTTTGTAAATAAAGGTTGGCCGTTATTTCCCTTCCGCTTTTTTGCTCTTCATTCAATGCTTTATAAAAAGTGTTACAGTGATCGGATTTAGTTAAAATATGCGCCGTTTTGTTCGATGATCTGTTTCCATCTAGACGGCAACTTCATAATACCTTCCTCGTAGAAGCCCCCCTCCTTATTTGCGAAGAATTCGGACAGCCACTTTTCACAAGCCTCTTTTGAGTTCAACTTCACACCACCAAGGGCATTCGCCATGGATAGGAACAGGTGGTAATCACTTGGCGCTACGTCCGGGCAATATGGTGGTTGCGATAAAACCTCCCATCCGAGCTCCCGTAGCTTCTGACGAGTCATCAACGAAGTGTGTGGTCTGGCGTTGTCCTGGTGGAACACTACACCCTTCCTGTTGGCCAATTCTGGACGCTTCTGTTCGATCGCCTGCTTCAAGCGGTCCAGTTGTTCGCAGTAGATGGTAGAATTAAGCGTCTGGCCATATGGGAGCAGCTCATAGTGGATGATTCCCTTCCAATCCCACCAAACACACAGCAAAACCTTGCCTGGCCGTCAATCCCGGCTTGGCCACTGTTTGGGACGATTCACCGGCCTTCGACCACGACCGTTTTCGCTTGATATTGTCGTATGTGATCCATTTTTCGTCGCCAGTCACCATCCGCTTCAAGAATGGGACGAGTTCGTTCCGTTTCAGCAGCATATCGCAGGCGTTGATTCGGTCCAGAAGGTTTTTTTGCGTCACCCGAAACATCAAACTTTTTTTTGTATCCAGCCTTCTGCAGATGGTTCAAAATGGTTTGGTGACTAACTCCCATCTCCTGGGCGATGTCACGAGATGCCATATGCCGGTCTAACTCGATGTATTCCATGATTTGATCGGTATTTGTCGTCACAGGTCTTCCGCCGGTCGGCTTATCCATGGTGTCGTTTTCACCGGCTCTGAATCGTCGAAACCATTCCTCCGCGGTTCGAAGTGATAGAGTACCATCCCCCAAAACACCATTAATCTCATGGAACGTTTCTATAGCGGATTTGCCTTTAACGAAGGAAAACTTTAAAATAGCGCGAATTTCGGCGTTAGTGAACTCCATGTTTACACGTCTATAACTGTTGAACGCAACATCCAAACTAATCATGCATAGCGTTGCTTTGTAGGTTATGTCAAGACCTTTCAAATTATGTATAGTGTTGCCAGATACGAGCTCTGTAGCGCTTTGTACATAGCCGCGAAATTCAAAAGACAAAAAAGCGGAAGGGAAATAACGGCCAACCTAATATTATCAGCCCGGGAAGAACGGAAAATAATAAATATGGTGAAAGTTAACCCTCGAATTACGTCCACAAAGATTATTGAAAACGTAAATATAACCATTAAAAACACAATTTGTGACGAAACTGCCGGAAAACTTCTACGAAAAGCTGGATATCATGGTAGAATCGCTCGAAAGAAACCATATATTTCACTTGTAAACAGGCGAAAG